CCCCCCCCCGCAAGCGCAGCGCCCAGCTGTGGCTCGGCCCCGCCGCCTTCATCAACCACGGTGAGGGCCGCGGGGCACCAGTCTGGAGGCTGCAGGGACGGAGGGCAGTTGGGTGGGGAAGAAGCCCCTCACTACTCACTGGGCTCTTTTCTCCCCTTGCCCCCTACTGGCTCCAGACTGCAAACCCAATTGCAAGGTGAGACCTGAGAGGGTATGTGGAGGGGAGGGACGTATGGTCTCTAACAGCCCAGCACTGTCAGACAGCTTTCTTGCTTCCCACTTGACACCCGGCATCCCTCCTCCCCTGTGCTTGGTGCAGCTGAGTCCCCTGGTGGCCAAAGGAGGGGCACGGGGCCGGGTGTGGAGCCGCTGCAGCCCTGCAGACTTTGCTCTGAAACCATGCAGGAGCTCTGCCAGTCAGGGAGGCAGTGCAGCGCCAGGCCCTCTGGGCACCCCGGCCTCACCGGGCAGTGACAAACAGCTGTGGTGCCAGCCGCAGGGGAGGGCCCAGGCCAGGGCCATGGAGAGCCAAGGGGCAGGACCCAGGAAGCTCTCCAGGTAGCCAGGGGATGTGACAGCTAGGAAGTTGTGGGGATACAGATCTCGTGTGCACCCTGTGGAGTGTGGGCCTTGTCCAGCCATCTGTGGGAGCCCCCAGGGGTGACAAGGTGTCCAGAGCCTGGGCTTATCTCAGATGGGTTTTGGTGAGAACTGTCGCCACTTTAGGAGGCTTTGAGGCCAGACAGTGGACACCTGAGGCCACACAGACTGCAGAGGTGCCTAGGGGGTATGAAGAGTGAAGTGTGTGCACCCCTCATCTAGCCCTGCATGGACCTGGGTGGGGCTCTGCCCGGACAGGTGCGCTGCAGCCGCCTTGGGGCAGGTGTGCCGTGCTGGGTGCTGCAGGAGGGGCAGGGTTCTGCGTTGAAGGAAGTCACCCTGAGAGGGTGTCCCCACAGGACGCTCATGCTATAGGGCTGGGGTGCCTAGGACTGCCTGGGTGGGCACCGAGGCCGTGCCAGGCCAGGTGCACCGCGGGCTTGGTGTGCTTGTTTGAAGTCTTTCTTCTGAGAGGGCCAGACCATTCCGCAGCACAGCAGTCCAGCTGCTGGGCTCAGGTTTATAGGCACCCGGCCTGTGCAGGAAGGCCTTGAGACAGGCCTCAGAACTGTCCTGTGTGGGTCCAGTGCGTTACCACTGTCTCCCTGAATCCCCCAGCTTGGCCATGCAGGAGGCTGGTTGCGACCAGAGAGACCAGGAGGCAGGGCAGCCACTGAGAGGCTGTTGTGTGACCTAGCAGGAGCCCACAGGCTGAGCGTGGGTGGGGAGGCGGGCAGGAGGCTGTCCTGTGCTGTGGGGGCAGCAAGGGCCACCCCAGGCTGGCATGAGTGCAGGATGGACACACAGAGGTCCGGCCCCAGGGAGGTGAGCCGCAGGACCAGGGACCCTAGCGGAGGGAGGAGGACGTGTGGACTGAGCTGTGGAGTGGGCACACACCTGATGGGAGGGGTGGGCTGGGGACCTTGGGAATAGGCTGGCAGGGGCAGGCCATGTGAGAGAGGCTCAGGGGTGTCTGGCAGGCAGAGGCCGGCTCAGAGCACTGCCCTGCTGGCGGGGGAAGCAGCGCTGGCACTGTCCAGGGCTGCCTGTGGCCAGACCTGGACCCCTGAGTGGCACTTCTGAGGGCTCAGCAGTCACCCCACCCAAAGAGGACTCCGGCGGGTGCCCGCCCACCCAGCAGGGCAGTGGGTGCTGAGCGGGCCTGGCCCCAGTTTGTGCCTGCAGATGGGAACGCTGCCTGCGTGAAGGTGCTCCGCGACATCGAGCCAGGTGACGAGGTGACGTGCTTCTACGGCGAGGGCTTCTTTGGAGAGAAGAACGAACACTGTGAATGCCACACCTGTGAGAGGTGGGGACGGGGCGAGGCGCAGGCCAGCCGGCACCGGGCCCAGAGGTGAGTCCTCGGGCCGCCCAAGCTCGCCGACCGCAGCTGTCTGTCCTCTCGGCCCCCAGGAGAAGGGGCCTCCCGGCTGCCCACCGCCCACCTGGCCCACCTGGCCTGCTCAGCCCAGCCGGCAGACCCTCTCAGCTGCTGCCCAGCCGCCCTGTTAGGAGGACCCCCACCCTGTGCAGGAGGAGGACCAGCCCCTGTTCGGGAGGAGGGCCTGCGCGGCCCTGCTGACCGCTGTCCTCTTCTCTTCCCTTCGCGGCCCACCAGCTGCCTGCGGGCCCCGCACGGACGCCTGGCCGCTCTGGCTCCAGTGGGCGGCGCCGGCCCC